AACTATTTTCATCAAATTTGTCCGGTCGTAGGGCTTTAACCATCGTTTCACATATCGGTTGATTGAATAAGTATATTGAAACGCCAACCCAACTGGCTACCGTATCATGAAGTTGTTCACATATGGATTTCAATATGACTGAAAGCTACCGTTTATGGATGAACTGTTTATAAGAAATGCCAAAAAGGGTTTAGAAGTTGATGTATATAGAAAAAATGTCAACACTTTCAGATATATTCCTGATAACTCTTACCACTGTCCACAACAAAAAAAAGGCGACTCTATATTTTCTTGTCCATAGGCTGATCAATTTCCTCTTAAGCAAAAAAGGTTCGATATCAGAAAAAAGGAGATAACTGATAGTAACAGATATCTTTCAAACTTAGTTAATGAGGCACGGAAATTTGAAGAATCTGTTAAAAAAAAAAGTTTTTCCGTTAAACTGCTGTCGCGCCCATACGAACTACATCCCTCAGAAGTCGAAACTTGTGCGAGCTAAGGATTAACGAGGTCTTACCTTTTAACGTGTGATTCATAACACGGGTTGGACGATAGCAAGTGAAAATCGATCGTTCAGACTAGGGCTTGAACCACCGATCAACACGGCAGTCAATTCGAGTGAGTGAACAAAGCACCCACGTCGAACCACCTGGCTTCGTAAATCCTCGACTCTTCACAAAGACGGTTACTCAAATTTTATACTTCTTCTTTGGTGGAACATGAACCGGTTTGATTGACGTGAGTGCTTCACCCTACAGTAGGACAATCGATTTTCGTTGTTTACTGTCCAACCTGTGCTAGTGATCGCCCATTAGAAGGTAAGACCTAGTTAATCCGTATCTCGCACAAGCTTCTATCTTTGAGAGTTGTCGTTCGTAGGGGGCTACAGCTGATTAATGGAAAAACTGATTTTCAACAGAAACAGATATGAATCAAAATACCCCGTTCTTTATTTTCTTGCCCAATCATTTGAAATAAAACTCATGTAAGTATTAGATACATACATAGGATACATATAAAATAAGATATTATTACAAACTAACACAATACTAGGAATTTATTTGATGACCTCATTACATGACAATCATTACCTGTGGTAATGACATATAAATAGGTCTTACTTAAATGTCAAATTCGACTTTATCATTCCCTGACGATGATAACTCAATTAGCGGAACGCACGAGAGACATTTTGTTTTGATGTGGAATTAATGTTTTATTTTACGCCAGAGGTACAATTTACTTATCAAATGTTTAGTATATTTCTATGAGGTGAAGCTCTTAATGAAGACCCACTAAATAAGGACACCAGTTTCCATCTTAAATATATCTTTTCAGTATGTTACATTTTATTTTCAACTAGTAACGAATTTGCAATAAGTCACATTCATCTCTTTGAAAATGACAGAATTTCCGAATAGTATGACCAAAAACTGACTTCAAATATGTTCAACTAAACTTAACTAAACTCTCATTTCAGTAGCCGTAATTCCCAGGAGAGAAGCAATATCCAGAGAAAAAATATTTGGAAGGTTCAGCAGTTGGTATTGAAATTACTATATGCAGTTTATGAACTTATGGAACAACAAATACGACTCTGCAAGATAAATAATCCCACAAAAGTCTGAGAAAACAAGGACGAACACATCTGCCCCAATGGGAGATGTCGATCCCAAAAGGGATCGAAAGAGAACTCAAATTTTTCAATATTAAAGATAAACGAGGCTCCCAACGCGCGGTCAGTTAGTTGCAAAGCCTAGCTTCCACATCAACCGCCGACGAGATTCGTCCTCTGTCGCACAGTAAAATTGAATTAATATTTTTTTCTCAATTGTAAAACTACTCAATTTTTTATTTGGTTTGTTTTGAAACTACAGCCACTTTTATTCATATCTGACCATTTGATTACCTCTGCTCAATGCGTTTTCGTTAATATGTATACTGAAATCGTTAACAGGAGTCGAGCTACAGTAAGTGTCAAGATAAGTTGTTCAAACTTTCATTTTGTGGGATTATAGTCAGTTAAGCTCAACTTTCTCTTCCAATATTTGTGGTTAATGGTTTAATACCGTCTTGTAGCTGGTAAAATCCTTTACACATAAATCTTATTTTAAAATATTTCTTTTATAAGTCACAGAAAAAGTAGAGTATTCTACTGGCTCGAATGATTTACGATGCTTGGATTTGTCTAGAGTGGACAAACTTCATTCACACATTTCTCTCTAACAGGTAGTAAATTAGGCGACCTAAATCATTTTCAAAATGAGATTAATTTGTAAAGAATATTTCTATATGTGAATATTTTATTATGTTATACATAAGAATATCAACAAAAATCTAGAGTTTTCCTCAATGTTGGATATTTTTAGTACTCACAATCAAAACAGTCTACTCAAATTATCTCAATATATTTTTATGTAATATAGCTGAAGGGTAAAATGGTTCAAAGAAGCGCGAACAGGGAATATGACAATTTTTTTTAAAGCAGAAACTCCAACAAAGGAAATGCAAGATTCTACGAGATCAAAAAATAATTTGTACAGAAATGAAACCAAAGTGAAATTAATGTTACATACAATTCACCCAAACTATCATTTTGACGGTTTTTGAAATATTCATGTCATTTGAACATATGGTAATGATACTATTCCAATGAGGTGCATTGTTGAAAAACATTTTTTATTTTTATTTGGTACATGACCTTTGAGGAAAAATATTTGACTCAAATAAATTCATAATCCATGTTGACATATTAAAACCTGAAGAAAAAAAATTAATAATGCAAAAAAAAGGATTTTGTGTGATCAAGTATTTCTAATGCTACGACTTCTACTGAATACATGAACAATTTCTCCAAAAAACAATTGACTTGTATTTCTCATTGATGTTGAAAAATAGTTATTTCACATACAGGAAGTATATCAGAATCAATACAATCTATATTTTTGAAACAATGATAAGCACCATTCTGGAAATGGCCAGCTGATGGAAGGTTAATTCAAGTTAATTTCATATAATGGAGTAATTTGCTGTGATTGACACAATAACATAATCTACTAAAACCTATAATAGGAAAGGCTTTCTTTAATCTTTCATTGGTCACACTTAATTGTGTGACAGCGATCGTCAGGATGAGGTGTAAGTGTCAATATATTATTAATTTTACCAAAACATTCTAAAAACTGATTNACTCCCAATCTTCTCAATGCATGTTTTGCCAACCAAGTAGGCGTCATCAGAAGATAAACTCTATACAGTAATCGAGGGGACCATTGCCACAAGGTTATTTTAGTGACAATGTAAAATTGAGAGGAAATAAAGAAATAGGTGAAATATTTGCTAGTTCGTAGAAAAAATAATGTTTTGTACCTGGAATGAAAAATCCTCTCAGTTGAAGTGTTTTTACAAAAACACATATATATGCCTATTGTTGAGAAATCGCATCATCGTTTCTTGTAAAACTATTAGAAAAAGTACTGATATTCTCGAAGACTACTGGAGTTCATGAAAAAAAGAGCAGATTTCAGAATTAAACCTAATTTTATTTTTTTATATGAAACAAAACAATGAAGAGAGCATATTTGCTCAGAAAAAAATAAGGATTTGCAAAATAATTTTTACTTTGAAAGAAAGCACTAGCATACCATTTATCACTTTAAAAAACTATTTAGTGCAAATACCGCACAGAAACCCCTGGGTAGAATATATGGTAATATGAGGCTCAGATAATTTTTTCGTTTTAATAAACTTATTTAGCGAAATGATAACTAGTTAGGTAGTGAAAGTCATTATGTTTCAAATTACTAATATACTAGAAACATAATGTAAAAATAAAGGTATTTCACTGAACAAACTATTCAAATGTGTTATTTCATTGGTCTTACGGTGGTTATTCATTTTTTTTTAAATCAGTGAATAATATATTTCTCTATTATTTCTTCAAAAAATAGTTTAAAGTTCACGAAAATGTAACTTTTCATATACGTTTGTTCGAAAGATTTCTTTCAAATGACAGAGTATCCAAACTTTCAATTTTTATTGTTTTACCAGTAATTTAGTTCGGCTTCTAACTGTAAAATGTCAGCATCCAAGAAGGAAAGAAATTTTGATGAGAGTAAACAAACACATCTTTCTGTAGTACGGATTATGTATAACTTTTTTCCATATTGACAATGTTGACTTTGAAATATTCACCATATTCCTGAATGTATTTAATAATCTCTCAGCGAAATTGCCACTCAAAGTAGTGATTTGTATTTGAAGTGAAGTTTCACACAATAAATCACTTTATGTCAATAATTTGAGGCAACAATAGTTGAAGAGTCTGATATAATAATTCTTTCTACAAGTCATTTATTTTGGCAAGTTGTCAAATGCATACCTATATGGTTTTTAATTTCGTCAACCCAAGTCTGAGTCCGGAAAAAGTTGAGAAAAGGATATTTATAAAGAATATCCACAGGAACTTATGCTTTCAAAAAGATGGATTATGACTCGAATGTTTGTGACTGCATTTTTTTATATGGTGAAAGTTTACGTTTCCTTTTTGGATTGTTTTAAAAATTTGTGAAAGTAATAATATGGTTTTTAGAATTTTTCAACAAAATATGATTTTGTGAAGCAAATTGTTCATTGCAGAAATTGAAGTCATAACTATAATTCCAGATAAGCTCAGATAATTGAAAGTTCAATATTTTATGCGACAATTCATAAATACTAACGTTCAACTGCTTTGAATAGTTTCATTTCCTTTTAGTTATGATTCAGCTCATTTCAAGCAGCAGAAAATCATAATTTGTGTCTTTTATAAGATAAAATTTGAATTTTCTAGAAACAGATACCAAAAAACCTTACTGAATCACCAAGCCTCAAATGAGGTGTACCCATTGAAAAATGTGTATTTCAATGGGTATTTCAATAAATAAATATAATTTGATAAAATGATGAATGTAGCTGTTACTACGTGGTAGGAAATCATAATGAAAAGGGAAATGAAAATTTCTATGTTTTTTATCTTCTGCTTTGACTTCAGTGATTCCTTGCATCGCTTTTGTCAGAACCGTAGCGTCTTTCAAAGACAGGACCTGTAAGACTTGTGGGGCATCACCCCCTGAACTTTGGATCATCATCGAATGAGTCGTCAGGCCGCTAGGAGTAACAGTCAGCGTGTCCATGCTATCTCCTGAGTTGGGTTCAACCTTGAAAGCAAAACCCTGATTAAATGTTTTTAACTGACAGTGACAGAAATCGGTTTGGATGCATTTTCATGCATTTTAAAGAAAGTGGATTTGAGATGATACAATTAACTAACACTAATAGTACTCAATATGTCAACTTGGCAACCATAAGACTACTATGTATAGTAGACAATTCACCAAACTTTCCTAATGAACAAAAAAAAAAACTAAATCATATAGGAACATAAAAAATATGATTTTCACCAAGCTAATCATCCAAAACTACATTTCACAATATAAAATATCAATTGGTCATGTCCGAATCACCGTTCAAAAATAGACTACTTCTATTCAATATATCTTTTTAGTAAATACTCAAATTAATAGGTTTCTATCTATTTAGTAGATGATCCCCTCGTTAAAAAAATATCGGAAAAATAAATTTTAAAAAAATGCCTCAAGAGGCTCCAAAACATATTTGAAAATGGAGAAGAAAAATCTCAAAAATGTGTGTCAATTTTCTAATCTGAGTCGACCGCCTTTTTCAATTTCAGTTTTTGGGAAAATATTTTTGCTTTCTACTCCTCCATCTTTATAAGAAAAATGTGGGATTTTTTTTTCTGGAGAAAGTGTGTAATTCAATGTTCATATTTGAAAATATTTCTTTTGAATGTACTTTTTCTTTAGTTTGTATCTGAAAAAACTTCTGTGCATAATCTACACATCTTTGTAAAAAGTTTACTTTGATAAATTGCTTTTTATTCGGAAGTTTCCTACATTTTTTGTACAAAGATGGAGAAGTAGAAAGCTAAAAAGTTTTTTACCTAATACAGAATACTTATTCAATACAATGAAATGTTAATATATGCTAGCATTATACAGGAATTATGTTATAGTTTTCATTATTTTGAGTCCAATACTTTCGGTTTTTCCATTTCTATTTTATTCGTCCATCCGCAGCAACAGGTTCGCAGAATTTCAAGACATATTTCTTTAGTGATCCTTTGTTCCCTGTCTGGTCGATGTTCCTGAGCTTCTATCATTTCTGTGCTCAAGCTTCTAGCCATTTCTTGCCATTATAACGTTATTGGAGTTTTTGGAGATCTGGATGTCACTTTTATTAAAATTCAAATTTTTGAACTATTCTTAGCTCCAAATAGATCCAATAAAAAATCTTTATGGTTCATCATTAGAATTCTATTATTGATGTTAAAAATTAAACTACTCTGTTCCATATTGTCGAGACTGAGAATGTGTTCATCTATAATTTCCGCTACTAATAGATGACGATCAATGGATTCTGTTTGTACCATAGCTGTCTCCATCTCCGGAGGGATTTTATAGATTTTCTTATCATATCCAACCAAAAGCTTTTGTGTCGATGGTGAATGAAGCTTTCTGATACATTATAGGATGCTACGCCAACGACGACCTATTGCCGAACAAACACTATTTTTTGAAAACTTTTGTATGGTTATGCAAATAGATCCTGAGAGAATAGGAAATTAACAAAAAATGTGTATCAATCAAAGATCTTGAAGTTATGTTAACAAATAACTTACGTCAGTTACAATGTTGAAAAGAAATTGGTCTATTAATTACTCATCGTTACTAGAAAATACAGAAGCATATTTTCAGAAAAATAATCTGATCTGGGGGTTAGGAACTCCTATACCGGATGATTCTCTAAGGTGGCTCACCCCTATAACTTTTTTATTATTGGAGATAGAAAAGCGAAATTTGAGAGTTGTGTATTATAGTTTAAATAACATTTTTTGACATATTTATTTGCTTTGCCGTACTTCCGGTTTGACCGGAAATGACCCCATCTTTCGATTTTTAAATGTGACATCCTATATATTTTTACTTATTTCGATCGAGAATGACATTCTAAATCCAACAATATTTCATTTGTTAATATTTGATAAATAAAATCATTTTTATTCCAATTTTTATTTTTGGATCTGAAATGCCATGGACTGTGTAAATCACTTCATTCTTGATCAAGTAACATTGGAAAACTACGACTTTGAGGCTTATGACGTCACATTCGTTTTAAGAATTATTTCACAGTCACAAATATGAATTTTTCCAGTCAACTTGATTTTTTCAAACGGAAAGGGGGTGGCACTTTCACTTCATTTTCTCTATTTTTCTGAATAATTACAAGAAACTATCATACCTAATAACAAATAATACGTATTCGGTGTACTTATGCACTAAGTCCTGTTATTCTAGTTATCCCTGACAAACAATTGAAGCTGTTGCTAGGACTATCTAAACCTAAACAAAAAGGCTAATGAATATGCTGTCACTTTGGAAAATGTATTTATTGTGTGGTTTATAATTAGATATGGTAAATTATACTAGAAAAGAAAAATTGACATGTTGCAACTAGTATTTGACTAAATACAGAGATGTAAGTTTTCCATTTAAAATTATTTATTCAGATGAAACCCGATTCACCAACTTGGGTATGTTCAATAGGAATAATGAAAGGTACTGGTCTCAAACAAATTTACATCTGATGCAAGAAGAAAATTTTCAAGAGCGATTTGGTTTCAATTGCGGGATGGGTATTATCGGAGGAAAACTTTTGGGGCCAATAATTTTTGACGGACAACTAACTGACTGCGGAAAGATATCTACAGTTCCTTGAAAATCAAATTAATGATTTCATTGAAGATTTGCCACTGGCTAACCGAGTTGATATCAATTTTCAAAAAGATGGAGTGGCACCTCACAATTCTCAAGTCGTAAGAGAACATCTGAATGACACCTTCCCATAAAAGTGGATTGGCACTTATGGAGCTATTCAGTGACCTGCGAGGTTACATTCTTAAGTTGACATATTTTTACATAAATGTATTATTTCTTTTTCATATTTTAGATCACCAGATGTTCCTCCGCTAGATATTTTCTATAGGGAACAATTAAAAATCAGGTTTACAATACAACATCAGCTACTCATGAAGAACTAGAGCAAGTAAGGGTGGCATTCCAGAACATCACTGAGGAACAGCTAATCAATGTGATGCGCGCAACAATTAAAAAAGTTGAACTTTGCTGTGACCAAGGAGGAGGCCATTTTGAAAATTTATAACCTTAATGGATTAATTTGTGACTTTCTTGCAATTATTCAGAAAAATAGACAAAATAAAGTGAAAGTGTGGAATCAAATTATTCAAAAGAAAATGATCTTTCACAAAAAGCCGACGAACCACCCCCTTTCCATTTGAAAAAATCAAGTTGACTGGAAAAATTCATATTTGTGACTGTGAAATAATTTTTAAAACGAATGTGAAGTCATAAGCCTCAAAGTCGTAGTTTTCCCATGTTACTTGATCAAGAATGAAGTGATTTACACGATCCATGGCATACTGTCTATTTTATATTCTTTTTCACAGTTTAATGTATTTTTTGTTAAGCATAATTTTTTTTATTAGTTTTATAAATCTGAGAAAAAAGACATATCGTTATTATCAATATTAAATGCAACCTATTTGTCCAATCTACTTAATATTTCATCTCTGTTTTCATAAAACAATGGTTATCTCAATAAATTAAATAAAACAATGATTTTTTGTGATTGTTGTTAGTTATATAACCTAAGACAAAATGCTTATTACCTTTGGAACTTGGACAACAGGTGTGACACAAACGGTCCCATCGCTGTTTGTGTGTAGGTGCTGGATATTCGCCACCATAGTTTGGTACATTGATGCCGTGACTGGTACAGTGATGACACCGCTCACTGAAATAATTTTGTAAGTTACCTCAAAAACCATAATACTTTCAACTAGTCCCCTCCATCAATGTTTCATAAATGCTACTATCACATTCAAAGGAAGTCCTCCCTGTTTTCTATTCAGATCAATCTATTCAATGCATAAAACAATAACAGTGACTTGTCATACAAATACCTGTTTGACACAGGTCAGTCAATGAAACCAGTATATTAACAAAATAATAAATTTTTTATCTGCACTACATTGTTTTATAAGCTTTCATTCTTGAGTCGAAATAATATCAAGATAAGAAGTAACATCACCAATGAACTCTTACTTACCGTGTCCATCCTCAGCAGTCAATATGATCTGTCCCTCTGAATTCAAAGTTGCTTCTGTAACAGAATTCAGGTCCACAACCTCACCAGGCTGTCCTCCTTCTGTTATCGTTTGAATTGCGTGAACTTGACTACCGTCTCCCTGTGTAGACTGTAACTGTTAGAAATTAATAATTCAACATTTGTTTACTTATAACAAACCAAAATAATTATCTAATGGAAGCTTCTAAAAACAAATGGAAGATAGCAAAAAATCATTCAAACACATAACTAACAGAGAGAAGGAACAAAACCAAGCTAATAGGATTAAAATCGAATATCCGCAACAAAAAAATTTGTTTCACCTACTGTCAACTTCGAAATGGAAAGATTTTACTTCAGTGATTAACCATGTCCAGAAATTTGACTCATATTTTTTATTCCATTGAGTATTTGTACTACATTAAGCAGCCTGTGAGGAATAAATTCAATTGATTATTTACTCGTTCATGTCTTTAGACATGGTGGAAATGAACTTAAACTAAATGGACACTTCAAGACGTCATCAGAGTACTGCTACTGGGTGGTATGCAAATATATATTATATATCAAATACTTGCACTGATAAAAATCACTAATCTGGATAAATAATCATTGTCTATAAGAAACTAAAGACAAATCTTATTGAAAAACATGTATGCAGACAATGTCTAGATTATAATTGTGATGTTACCCAATATTACAAGTGTAACAAAGTCACAGTTTTCAATTAGTTGAAGTATATTTTACTGATTAAAATGCATTAGAATCAACTTCTTCCTAATCATGATAGAAAGTAGAGATGACGTTCTTTGTCAGAATCATTAACTAGTTCGGTTTACCTTACAAGTAGTTCATTATATTATATTTCAATTACACATTGTATGAGATATACCAATATCTACATCATAGATTGGAAACATAGAAATAAAATACTGAGAGTTTTTTCAATTACGGGTAAGAACATGATTTCTTCACAATATGATCACAAAAAGTACAACAGAACTGAGAAAATGTTTCCAGATCAAAGATATGAAGCAAACAAATATGTGGCAACTCCGCGCATAGTGCCCCAAATTCTACAATAAAAAAAATGATGTTCAACATAAAAAACCAAAATAGAAATTTCAAAATGACATCTAATTTATTGAATAGAATGCTACACACGTCAACGTCCGAGCTATATCCCGCAGGGTCTAAGCAAACCTGCGTTGACGACCCAGAGAGGCCATCAGGAGATGTGGATATTATTTGGGGGGACCCATTAGCTTGGATCTGAATTTTATGTGTGGGCACCATGCCCGAGGAATGCATTTTTAATACTCCTACTGCTGTACTGACATTTGCGTTTGCAGTTGCAGCTGCGTTCGCTTTTTCGTCTTCTTCCGTGAAAGCAGGCAATAGATCTTCCCTTCCATGGAATTTGTAACAGTTTATGACAATTTGCCTCAGAGCGTGGGTCCAGGAGATCTGTAGAGAACAAAATACAGTGAAAATCAAGTATTTAACAGACATTTCATGAGACTGGTGAATAATAGCTATGGTTTTTTGTATGGTATTGTGAATGAAATTAGATTATATACCTCGTGGGTCGACTTGGGACAAACAATTTCAGGACAATCAATGCCCTGATACAATTTTCCGACGATAGAGGCATAGTAAAGATACTATACTTCTAACTTTATTATAATTATATTCACCTACTATTAAACCTAATTTATAAGCAGCATACTTCAAATATTCATTTTGCACACTCTTACTAAGATGAATTCAACGTATTCAAAAAAACACTAAACAGTTTTACAAAAAGGCAACTCGTGTTTCGCCATATAATGGCTTCTTATATGGCCAAGACGTGTTTTGGACATACAAGAAGCCATTGTATGGCGAAAAATGTGTTGAGTTTTTATAAAACTGTTGAGTGAAAATCTCACAATAAAGTGTAAATGACATTGGTAAATGACTTGCTCTTTTAACAAATGTGTTGGGATTGCAAGGACTGCATATACTCACTTCTTGCCATGTACTGAATTTCTAGGTTGCTTTTTTATCAGTGATTTTGAACCTATCAAAAACTTCAGAGAGACAGGGAGGAAAAAACTGAAATGTAACTAGAGTAACTGGAATACTTCGTAATATTTACTGAATTATTACATAGGAGTTATCATTATTATGACTTGGGCTGGTACTTTATTCCATAACAAATGTTTTGAATACAAACTGAATAGTATCTTCTGTATAATTCAGTGTTCATATAAAAGTATTTGTTTTGAAAGAATTTTTTTCTTTCGTGTAATTCAATGTTTATATGAAAGTAGCTGTTTCAGGAGGACTTTCTTCCAGTTTGTGTCTGAAAGTTGCTTCTTTGCATGATCTACACATCCATGTATAGAGTTACTTATTTTCAAATTGATTACTTCCTTCCTTTTTTTGGAAGATTTCACGTTTTTTTGTATCAAAATGGAGTAGTAGAAAGCCAAAAACTTTCTTTTCCAAGAATTATTGTGGTTATTACAAGTAATTTAATGGTCCAAATGGACACCTGGATCTAGTGTTAACTCTTTTCAAGATAGTTCCATCGATAGTGTATGGAAATTGCACGTTTTTATATATTTTTTTTGTATTATTCTTGAAGTAACTTTCAGTTTCTTTAATGGCAAAAAACCAATCGACTCACCTTCTGTTTCTCATCTTCGCTTCTTGCATCCATCCTCACATTGGCCCATGGTAGCTCCTTTGGCCACCAAGGAGGCCTTGTAGACTCCCTGCCCCATCCAGGCTTGCCTCTGCCTGTCGAATACTTCAGCATCAGCGGTATGAACGCTCTCAATTGTGCCTGCGTCATTTTTTCAACCGGCGTCGGAATGCCGTCGATGATTAACGGGGGTAGTTCAAACAGCGTCGGGTCCTCCTGTATGGGTGGCGGTGCCTGGTGAGCGAGAGCATTTTCCAATTCCTCCATAATCATACCTTTAAGGTTTTTGATGACGTCTTCGAGGGGTTTGGCGCCAAATACTTTATAACTAGTGTTTGGTTTTCCTGGGGTAGCTACTAATACTATCGCTTGTTGACCTACTCTCGTCGCAAACTCGTCAATTGTTTGCTAAAAAGAGACAGTCGTTAGAAGCGATTGTGTTGGTGATTTTTCAGACTCTAGAAACTTTGTCCGTGTTTATGGTCACCTACTGGACCGAATATTAATACATTTAATTTGTTTATCTAATTGGTTGATTATTAAATGTTTCTTTGATAAACTTTTCTTTCTTTCAAATTCTCCATTAAAATACAAAAAAAAATTAATCAACAAAAATCAATGAAAAATCTTAGAACTGTAATACCCTGCGAAATAATGGTGAATTACTTTCAATTCGAAGTGGTACCCTGGAGCTTTGCCGCTTCTTTTATACAGCTCTCTTTTATTCAATTGCCCTCTAAATGTGGAGTGTACAATTAATAGCTCTCGTAATTATTCTGAACGAATCCCTACTCTGTTAAAGCAGTTCTCCCAATTCACTTCTCAGATGGTCCCTATATAAAGTTTTCACCACGTGTGTTCCCAAATATATTTTCCCTGTACGTTTGTTCTTGACCTACTTTTTTATTTAATCTTGTACTATGGATTTTGGTGCCCACACAGCTGGTTCAGAGCCCATACAATAATTTGAAAACTTGTGCATAGCACACTCATCAGCTTTTTGTTGCCTATGATTCCTTAGTATCCAGAAACCCGGTACAGAGTTTATCTATTCATGTCCGCCAGATTCTTCAGTTCTTCAAGGCATTATCAGACCAATCTCGATGCCATTTATGGGTTCATCAAAGCTCCTAGTGCAAGCTGGTTATCTGAAAGAATTTTGATCAGCTCCTTTTTAGACCTCGAGTTGAAGAACCTTGTGCAGTGCAATATTGCATATCTGACTGAGCGTACTGTACTGACCAAGCGTACAGCTATAATGAATATTTCAGTTCACACAGTATCCCATTTCCCATTTTTTAGTTTCTGACTCGTTTTCTCGTATTCTTTCAATTATTATATTTTGTTGAGTCAGCTCAAGCAGCTACTTTTGTCATTTACATCTGTCAAGCTTGAAACTGTCGACTAGTCAAGGACTTCAAATGCATCTTGCCACGAGTAAGCTCGTGAGTGGTGATTGGCAGGGTAAAAATAATATATGATCACCAATCATGCTCGATAACTAGCACTTCAAAAATTGGACAAAATTCAAATCATTAGGACAGTCTACATACATTAGAACCTAGTTTACTTTTCAAGAGCACGGAAAACAAAGCAACAATGAGTACTCAAAAACATATTTGAAGTTTTTCAATACTTTGAATCTAAATCAGTTGAAAATTAAATGTTGCGTTACTGCTGTCTACTTCAGAACTTATGAATAGAATAAGAGATGTTGTCACCCTCTCTGCAACAAGTAATGCGATACTATTTTTTCAATTATCAAAAAGTACTGAAAATAATGCCTTTCACGTAAACTTTTTCCAAACGTGATTTCAAAAGTTAAGAGGAGGGGGATTTTTACATCCTCACTGTATAATGCTCATATATGGGTTCATTATTTATATCAGTAACTACAATTAGATATGAAAGACATTTCTATAACTTTTGTGAAGTGGTATGGAGTTTGAAACAAAAAGACGAGTATTGGAAAAAAACAAAACTGCATAATCTTTCAGAAGCTATGTTCTGTTTAGTTAAAAATTGTACATTTGGTTACAAAATTAAGAAATAAGTAACTTCTTGCCATAGGTGATTCTTTTATATGGATTCATTCTTTCCATCATATTTTAAAGGAAATATATCTATGAATGTTTCACCATTAATCCCAAGAGTCATCATTGATGTTTGTTAATTTGTTCGTATTTTCTGCAATTTTCATAAATTGAAATAAATAATTTTTATTCATCTAATTGTTATATTCCTTATTATTTTATTCCTATTAAATACTTTTCTTTGACGAAGAAATAAAATCAGGCAGTCTCATGTAAAAAGTGAAAAGCCTCCTTTCATCTTGTGGGGTGTTGATTAATTAATGGTCTAGCTTGAAATTTAAAAAGGCTGTGGAGTATCTATATAGATTTTCTGGTCTATATTCATAAAATTTCTAAATAGTGTTGATGTAGAGAAAAGGCATGTTTGCCATTTCTTAAACTTAGAAGTAAACATATAGCACAAGTCAAATAATTTCTAATAGGTGCATCAAAACCATCTATCATCTAATAATTCTTCAATTTGGTAATCTGTTAATACACAACTTCCCCTTGAAGCAATAGATTACCTTTTTCCACATTTGAAAAAGTATACATATACTAGTCATTTTACATTAACACCTACAGATGGAATTTGACTAGGGCTATAGTTTTTCAATAACACCAATATGTTACTTTTAACTAACCCTAAGTTTTCGCAATAACCTATTTTGTTGCCTCTTACGTATTGAAGGATTTGTTTCGAATGAGTGAGGTCGTTTTCTTTTCTTTGAAGATACTATAGCAGCTGCTGCTGCCACACCCACAGGACCTAGAAAAATAGATAACCAATCTAATGAACAATTTATATATTAGAAAAGTGAAAGGGAAAAACTCCACATTACTGGAAAAAGTTTTTATAGATAAATAAATGTTAGTATCCGATAGATAAGATTTCATAAATATTACCAGGCCATGATCTAGGGGGGGGGGGCGGCCAAATTCACACTTTACAGACGAATGGACAACACATCATTTACTTAACTTCGACCTACGCTATAGGCACGAATAGTATTATTCGCGAGGCGCGTAGGCATAGTTCAAAATACACGGCCGCTCGCCCGCAGGAATCGCGGCAGCAAACGTCTGATTACCGTGCGTGCGAAAGTGATGAAGCTATATTTGAAAACTCCCTCGTCGATCTCTCTCCACGACAATGTTTTGTTTGAAACATGTATGTTGTCATACTATTTAGTATTCTTCCATCATATTAGATATTAGTCAATGTCGTATGATAAATAATGGGTCTAATATGGCCGGCATCTATAAAGGAGTACAACCAGGATCGCAGAAAGGAATAAGTTGGCCGAATTCGTACCGTGCTTGACTCACTCCTTAAATCTTGTAGGTGTTCATGCCAGGAAGCTATTTACCTATTTGGACTAATTCAAAAAGTATACTGCTTTTTGTTGGCTCCACTACTAGGTGGGATATTATAAAAATATGTTGGAACAAATTTAAAAGTAAGTAGTCAGACGAGATTGTCGGCGAAACATATTGCTGTGAATGTCCTATCAAATAATTTTCTAGAAGTAGCGAAAGACTCAGATAAGGTTAAGCAAACTTCTCATGCTCCAGAAGCTAAGTGCGAGGCAGGTCATTTCTTAACTGCTATAAATAATTTAAAATTTATTCTCAATCCAACTGTTTGGGCGAATATTCTCCGCGAACTCAATCGAGTGAATATCCGTCGTACTAATGGATGGTCTGCCCAAAACTTTGCAAAAAATAAGACAAAATCCAATGAAATATTGGACAAGAGGCTGAAAAAGTTACTGAAAAAACTTATGTTTTGCAAAACAAATGAATTCCGAAACGTAAAAAACATTTCAATAAGATGTGTGAAGACGAAATACAAACACTCCAACCCGTTCAACTATTTCCTAGAGAAATAATGGTGGTATCTGATTGAATCAACTCAGACACTGAAAAGAGGTTTGATTGTGCTATCATGCTGAATTCGAATTTTGCTTCTCTTAATGGTACTAATATTTTGAAAATGTCAATTGATAAACTGCAAAAGTGTGGAGCAGGTCTGGCTCGAAAATACGAGCAAGATTTAAGCACCGTTGAATTCAACCAGTAAAAAACACGTCCATAAAAAAAAGCAAAAGTTGAAGCCATGACAGAAAGGGTGCGGTTGTGCGGGAGTAATTATTTAACAACGACTAATACAGTGAATATCAACCTATTGCACTGAAAGTCACTTGCTACTATTCCAAAAAAGGGGAGATATAGACAGCGGCGGCGTAAGGCGTAGGCCATCGCCCACGACTTCGCGGTGCAGAGGGCCTCACGCCTCGAAGCCGAAAATAAATTTAAAAAAATTCAAAAGTACCTAAACGTCATGATTTTTTTATAATTAATTCATTACAAAATTCTCAATCCAAAGATATTCCACTCTTCGGCGCACAAAAACAAATGAAAAAAAATCGTGAATATATTTTTTTTATTCTCATGTTTATTAACGAGTGTCAATACTACAAGCAAATTATGGCAATATGTCCATTTAAGCATTACTCTTGAACGTTTGCGTACATTTTGTCAAAGAATATTGACAAACTGGATTCGAAAAATGCTTTTCTGACGTTCGTCTATTTATTGAGAAAAGCAGTTATGATTTGCCAAAAAATTTTGATAATGAAAGTATATTCAAAAAGAAAAGTATGTTTGATTATGAAGTCAGCGATCAACTTATTCAATAACATTTTTACTTTGACTTGTTGCCTTAACAATACATCCACTTGACTTATCGAGATACAAATTAGATATTTTTAAGAGAATGTACATTAAAATTTTTACTTTGACTCGATGCTGCAACCAGAACATTCTGCAAAGCATCAACTCCTCGGCAACTTTCAGCAGACGTGACGTGTTTGGGCTTTGTTTAAAGGTCTCAATGAGTAAATAGCCGCAGTGTCATTGAATTTGACTGAAATTGTAATACGGCGACCTAGACATTATGTTTTTTTTATTACTTTTGAGTCGATGGTTATTTTAATTTCTAATTTTGTTGTTTTATGTTCCAAAAAAGTACACAAGTAAAAATTTTGGTAAGTGTTTCATAATGAATAAAAAATGGTTTAACTTCAAATGTTTTCTTTATTTTATAAACCCTTCTTCTTGCACCATCAGAGGGCTTTGTGAAATGTACCTTATCCACATTGAATTTAGGTCTTGCGCCGCCACTAGATATAGACCATTAGTAAAAAATTCAGGTAGTATAGTACACCTCACGATTTGATCTCCACAAACTAGTGAGGTGCAGTTTATGAAATTACTATGGATCTTCATCAAGTAACGGCCGAATCAATGAGAAAAATAAAATGTAGTTAACTAATGATAAGAGTAACCAACTCTCACACTTTCAATGGGAAAAAGTTTTGGTGAGCGGAGGGTTAAATAATGGGTGGAAGAACATTTCCATTGACAAAAATGAGAATTAGGAGATGACTTGTCAGCCTAATAGAATTTGTATGTATGTGTGAGTATTTTGTGATATATAAAACACTAATTTACAAAAATAAATTTGTCTATCTGTCACTGATGATATGACGATACGATCTCAAGTCTTGAAGTGTTAATCATCGATGAAAAAGAAGACAAAGATGATCGAAGAATAGCACCTTTAGAGTAAATCCTTAATGTTTAGATTGTGACATTTACATCTGAGACGAAACTGACAGATGCAGGTAGACAAAGGGAAGACATTGTAGTGAAACTGTGAGGAATCAACCGAATCCAACTGCTACAGTTTGAAGAAAGATTGAACCATTGTTGTGCCATTCTTTCCTAAGTTCCAACGTTCTCAATATCTACAAGATCTACTAGAGGTTGATGGGTTTTTGTATGACAATCAATGCAGTAGGATTAAAATTGATGGATGTAGCCGTTACTACGTGGTAGAGATCATCACAAAAAATGAGAAATAAAACTTCTTATGGGAAAGTTCATAGTTATTTTCCAGTAGATATCTGCCAGATCCTATCATTTCAGAATGTTGAGAGAGGTGAATGTTTCAAATTTCATTTCAGAATATTCATTCTTGAAAAATGTATGTTTCTCTCCTCTATCAGACCTATTTTGATTTCTGCTAATTACATGGGATGCTTCTTCCCCACTTGATGCTTCAATCACTAGATGAAACTGTAACTACTTCAGGACCTATCTCAGACGAAGCTTTTGTATATGTGATTGAGCAACAATGAAATCAGTCTTGGATACATTGCTGTTTTGGTTGGATCTGTTCTGTACCGAGGAGGAGTAATAATTCGAAATAGATCTGTAGGTCTCAATTTATTTCTTCGAAGTCCAGCTTTGGACAAACAGGAAGCATCTACAAAAATTGAATATGCGAAGGAATTCGCACAAATGTCCACAGAACATAATTCAATGTCCATCGTAATAGCTGTTTCCCGGCAAGCATTTGCCAGGTCCTAATGTGTAGTAACTTTAGAAGAAGATAATGTGTTGAATTTCCTTTTAAAATATTCATCTAATATGTTTGTATCTATCCTCGAAACAGTAATCAGACTTATTTTGATTTCTGTTAAAATCAGTGATGAAAGAAAACATCACCAGGGGTAGTTTGAAGATATTATCTACAGCATCTGTTCTAGAAACAGCCACAGGAGAAAAAATAATTGTTTATGGAGTAACTACAGTGAATAGGGAGGATCAAACTTGAAAATAGTGACTTGGAGTCTAACGCTTTCTTGGCTGATTATAGCGACAAATTATTCCTAGGGCTAGAGCTCATATCGGTTTAATGGGTTCATAGTGGATATCAGGAAAAACCCTTGAACATCAGATTGAAGTAATTTTGCCTTCTGTACCTACCCAAAATGTTATAGTGCCAAAGTGGTGATGGAAAACCTGTACGCTGAGAAAATTGATTCAGCAGAGAATATTGGACCTGATAACGTTGGTTTATTCAAAATACCTAATCAGAAAATACATTCTTGTAGCTAGAACTAACCAATGGTAACAGCAAAATGGTAAGACAATGAGAGAAGCAAATCACAGTAACCACAGACATACTTAAGAAAGAGCAGATAACAAGTACATGCACACCAACTCTCAGTATTTGTTTGAAGGTGGTTGACAATGTTTCATTGTGCATTTCTTTAGTTCGGACTTCCATTGTCTATGAAACTATCAGTATAATCAATACTATCATGCATTTTCTCTATTAAAGGAGAATAATCACTCAAACTCATTATGAAGTTTGTACTACCAGCAAAGTTGTAGTTCTATGTTGTTTGGACAACCAATAACTGATTTTATTCAAAAAATTCATATTAAATATAATCTAACAAAATATTTTACCGGCGGCAGCCAGTTGTGCGGTGACTTCATCACCCATGGCAGCCGTCATGAGGTCCCCTCCGTCTTCATAACCAGAGCCTGGAGATGACGGACAGTTGTCGTCATCGTCGGAAGCCACCGACATTCCGCTTGGTGAACCAACGACCATGGCAATCTGATCAGAGTTTTGATTCCCGTTTGAATTATTCATTATCAAGACCATTCAGCCGTACCATGAAAGACAGCCCCCCTGAAAAAATAAAAACATATAGGGTATCGTTAAACAGGAATTTCGTTTCAACTGAAAAGAGAATATTTTTTAGGATATATTAGTTTGTGGAAAAAACTTCATGGCTTTCTACTTTTCCACCATCATTATATAAAAATTTGGGAAACCCAAAAGAAAAGGAACAAGGTATTTGACTTCTATATAAACTATTTACATATATGTGTATATAATGCACAGAAGTTTTTTTCAGACACTAGTTACGGACATATGACATATTCAGACTTTTTCCTATTCAGTTTGTATTCCAAACATTCGTTATGGAATTGAAAAAGACATATGTTTCGAAGTAGTTGCTACTGATGATTATTCCTTTCAGTTTTTATCTGAAAGCTTGGCTGAGAGGATTCAATTCAAATGAGTTGAATCGCAATTTAAATTCAAGATTTAAATCAGTTTTTTCAGTTTTTTCAATTCAAACATTGATTAAATTCAGAATATTGAAACTTTAATAATTATGAGAGATGAAGCATAAAACATGAATTATAAATTATTATTTATTTTCAAACATAAGTAGTACTCATTGTCCATACATTCAGTCCAGTAAATAGTGTAAGTACACGAATAAGTACATATTATATGAAAAACATCTAATATCTAAACAAAATATTTCAGAAAAAACAATCCGTGATTGCAAAATACAAACATTTCAATAGTCGAAATGTTTCATTTCAATTTCCACCATTCAATGGGTTTTACATTTTTAAGAACATTCTTGTAGAATATACCATTAGTAAAGGTGTCAGATTCGGCTAGGAATTTAAAAATAAGTGGTAACAGTTAATCACTATAATGCGGACATAATTTTTTTGATGGGTTCTAACAAGTTTTTCACTGTCTGTTAATATTTGCTTCATTGTTATGCACATTTCATATCGGTTTCTAAATTCCTGCATTCAATTTACGATAACGTAAATGCAGTTTCATCAAAATTGACTTTTAGTATGTAGATATTCTAAATGTTTCTACATTTAACAAACAAGCATGACTTTTTGTAGTTTATCTAACGCAATAGATATAACTGGAACCTCTGGCGTAGAATAAATCCATTACAACTACTTTTCTCAATCACCAGAAATGCAAAACTTTTCTCGACGCGCGTTTCACCAACCAAGTTGGCGTCTTCAGGAAATGGAGAACAAATCAGTTTTTTTCATCTCCCGATTTTGATACAGAATCTGTCTTCGTAATTGTCTCAATAAACGCGTTCCTGTTTTGTAGGTATTTTGAACTGTCTTGAAAAGGAATTTTTCTTCTTATGAAAGACCTTGGTCTATACCTGTACATTAGCCTATACCTAAAGAGGCCATTAAAAATTTTCCGCTGGTTTACAAGCAGCGATATCAAAATTTATGAAGAAAATTGTAAAACAACATGTTCTAAAATATTTTGAATGCATCAAGAACTGAAACAACCATTAATGATCTTTTTAGAAGAAAAGAACAAAATGCGATCTTTTTCATGTCATGTCATCCATCATGACAATAATGCAATCGAGCAACCCGGAGGGACTCCGACTTTTCCTCTTGATATTTTCAAGGCCTTTGATCGTGTCTGGCATGCGGGTTCACAAATTAAACTTCGATGTTACGGCTAGGCTTGCCAGATCGTGTCATTCATGACTATCCAGGTTATCAGCCTTAACCTTAACCAATTTACTATCAAGGTTTCTCAAAAACTTTTCCTAGTGTTCTCCATGTATCTACATTGTCTTCAATTTTTTTATAGTATATTAACAAACTTCAGGAAAAGACCAGTGAATTTTAATACTGAGTAAACCAGTTCGCTTCGCTTAATTTGTTGGGTATTAAATTGGATAAAAATATTTCTAGGCATAATCACGTTACTGGGATAGCAGCTTCCTAGAAGCTTGGAATACTATTTCGAATTAGAAAGTCGTACACACCTCAACAGGTTTTAAGAGTTTTAATTCATATATTTTTTTTCTTCCTTTCTTCTTTGTAACTTGTATCTCAATTGAAAGTTGTAGTAAAAAAGCAAACTCAGAAGTGGAACGAGTAATGCAAATAGTAGAACGATTAGGCTGGCTTTAGTTACCCTTTTCTTGCAAAACTATGGATTATTGATGGGAATGCTAATGTCACTGAATAAGTAACACCTAACTGAATAAGTATCACCCAAGCCAATATAGTGACTTTGTTAATGTTCCAAGAATTATGAGTAAACATTTATTTGTAATCTTTAGTCCCGATCCCATAACATAATAATACTCGATACCTGAATCTATACATGTTGCTTAGGAGGCAGATGAATTCCTGTAGATGTGTAACTGAAAATTATTTTAATAAGAAACTGAATAACTAAAATTTCATTCTAATTGACAAAATACATAATTTAATGAAAATATTGAGATAACTGAATCGAAATACTTCAGTTTTAGGAAATTTTGATTTTGCAATAAGTTTGGGCTCCTTCATGACCCTACTGAACAATTTTTTGCTCGTCGTATGAATTAAGTATTTGGGTAGGTACCTCCTCTTCACATATTTCTGTAGAGAGAGGTTAGATAGATAAGAATTGTGCACATGCTAATTGCACAAAACAGTCTTACGCAGTGTCTATACTGGTCGACACTGAAACTCACAGCATTCACAGCAATATGGATCTTCCTTAAACAGAGATGACTGGATTCTCCGAGAGGAGGAAATACTCAGAGCAGATGGTTGTTAGTTCTATGATGGATCAAAAACACTTTCAGATTCTGGTGCAAGTATATACCCAGGACAGAGATATCAACCTGCCTAGGGTCATATGCGACCGCATTTTAGGAGAAAATCCAAGTCATTGATTTACGTGTGGAGAGACTTAAGAAAAACAACGTGACACATGAATCGATAAAGTTATTCTAGGATAGCTAAGTGTTTAAGTTCCAGGCCACATTGGCCTGGAAGGTAATAAAGATGCCAACTCATTTGCACAAGAGAAAGCTGCAAGCAGTTTCATTGGACCAACAGCAATCACTGTCATCACTTTAGACTTTGCAAAAGAGACATTGAATATCTAGATTGCAAGAAAAGTTTCAAGTCCCTGGCAAAATCTATCAGGATAAACCCATTCCAAGGCATTTAATAGACCAATCATTGTTAGATCATAGCCGGAAAGACCCAGGTTGTCTAACAGGCCTAGTTACACGTCACTGTCATTTGAACCATCATATAACAAGACCTAGACTGTCGGAAAACAGCGCGTGTAGTCTCTGTATTAAAGATGACGAAACAGCAGAGGAGCACATTCTGTGTGCCGGTTCCGCCGCGAAGCAAATGAGGTTTTCAGTGTTTGACGCCATCTGACCTAAGGAATCATTTACCAAATAAATTTAAGGGTTTCGTTAAATACTCACAATAAACCATCACAGGTTGAACGGAGGATTGAAAAACCCTAGCACTTTGGACCTACACACATGGATATAATCATGAGGCTATTGCAAGTCTGTATTAGCGTGCGTCGGAGGCAGTCACCCAAGCATTCAATTCAAACGGGGAGCCAAACATTATTTAACCTAAAATCAAACCAATCAGCCTAAATCATCGCAAATTCAAAATTTTGATTTAGTTCTGTCAGCTCAACGAAAATGCCAGCAGGTCACACCTGTTTTTTTGGGAAACGACATTTGGAAAATCGTCGATAGGGTCGAATAGGAACTCAATATGAGTCTCAAACTATGACGTAGTCTGATTCAGAAAATGGGACCTTTGGACCTACCTTCATCGGCGAAAAAATTATGCCATTGAGTCTGTAGCGAGCACAAGAAAAACGTCTGAAAAGGAGAAACCAGCAAATTGGAAACAGTAAATCATGTTTGAAAACATTAACATAACATTTAGATACCCGAAGCTAAAATGATTGATAACTTGTGCAAAATAAAGTTTAAAGAAGCTACCTACGTAAAGAACAACGACACTTTCAGCCAGGCTAGTGTGGATATTCGCAACGTATTGAAACCTTCAATCAAGTGAAAAAACAGGCTACGGTGCATGAGACGGAAAACCAAAAAAGGAGGGAAAAAAGCGAACACAAGTGACCTATAAATAGTCTCGAAGTATCAGTTATAAACCAAAGATGGTTACGGATACTAACAATTCCGCCCTGCAGCGACGTAGGTAAGAATATTCCTAAATGACGACCTCATCTTTAAGTGTGTAGGTATGCGTGATAACTCTTTGATACTTAGTGCCACTAACGGAACCTTCGAAATACCGGGCGTCCTCATGTCACGTTATTGCGGGGCTCTACCGTGATGGACCTCTTCTTTCCAGCTACTCGCGGCACCTAATATAAACCGTGTAGTAGCCATAGATTCTGACCCTAACTTCATAGACGAGATGGACGTCAAATAAATGACCCCAACTGTCTTCCCTTGAAAACGGGATCAAGATCAAAAACTCAATTGTCCAACTCTTCATCCTGTAAACAAACCTAGGCTAGGTGGTGCAGCCAGGAGCGACTAATCGCCTGCTCAAGTGCAGGATATCTTTATATGAATCTACCTTGCACTAAATTATTGAGCAGCAGAAACAGAAATCTGTATCAGGAAAGTAAACAAACCCCCCCTGAGTAGGCCAGCAAACGCTCAAATGATGATTAACCAAAACTGCAAGTCCTACATGGCTGAATCTAATGATCGTCACATATAGCTGACTCTCGATACCCTTTTATTCTTCAATATGTTATTATGGCTGGCATAGAGGATATTCCCGAAGATAGTTCCTGTCCTCACTGTCAATCTTGAATGGGATTATGTTTCACATGGAAATTCAGACACTGGTAGTAGGTGCCTGCCCGCCGCTAATCGTATCAGTTATTTGGGTTTGGCAGAGGTCCAGGTCAGTTGACCTGAGGCTTCGGTAATCAAATAAAGTATTTGGCTCTGTTGAGAAGCTGGATTTATTCGGTCCAGATTGAATATGTGAGCCACAATAAATCCTAGCAGGTTGCGAAAACAA